AAAAAAAAAAAAAAAAAAAAAGCTAGTCGCTGTGTTCGCGTGTTATAAGACGAAATGACTAATGATCCAGTCTACATGGCAAGATCTTCACGGAAGAAAATTTCAGACGACAATGAAGTGACGGAAGCCGTTTTAAAGTAATTTGCAGTTAAATTCCAGATTACATTTTAATCGGAAAACACAAATATTATATCTGTTACTTGGTGCAAGAAGGTCCAATGTCAATATTCAAAGTTTTACAGAATGGGTGGTGTGCTTACGCCATCGAAATGACAAAACCATCGTAGGTCAATGTAAATCAATGTGAAATAAGGAGATAGGATCGACTTTTGATGTTGACCTTTCTTGCACCGAAAGAAGGTTGCTTAAAGCAACATTGACCAAACAAGCCGAAAATCACTAAACAATAACATTGGCCCATCTTTCACTAAGCCACATATATAAACATAAGAACAGTACATAGAATAACATAGAAATTATATTGAACAGTAAAGTTTGTCTTCTTTCTACTATTTGTTAAAGAACTAGTCAGTTGAGCAAGTTTTTTTTGGGAATATCCCCGAACTGTACAATTTTCAGAATTTGCATTTATATGCCATGGGAGTTATTGTTTTTTATCAATTTACTTTTCATGGTTTAATGTATTCCGTAACTTCGAGCACAACATGCGCTCGCATATTTCACATTCGTTTCGTTTGATGATCTTTGTATTTGCTATACATGTCTACTTCTTTAAGTAGTTTATACGTGGACGTCATACATACAAATCATGAAAGTGTCTGTGAATAATTATTCATCACTGGGAGATATTCATAATTACTTTAATATATTAATTTACTTTCGCTATTTAAAATGGTGAGTTTTCACATATTGTATCATATACTAGTGCTACTGACTTACTATAATGGCTTAATTTTTTTTCATTTCAGGAACATTCAGGGTCATTTATTCCAGTGTTCACTAAATATTTCCCCGTTATATTCTTTGTAGCCTAAGATGGGGGAAAAAGATGTCCTCGAAACGTCGTGATAAAACTTTATTAAAGACGAATCAAAGCTTTAAAATGTTTAATTCTATGATTTTATATCTAAATGTTTAAGTAACTCTGACTGTCCAGAAAAACGTTGTGGCCAAATTATCCTCGGATACGTGGGCGTCTTTTGCTACACATATTTCAAATAAGCACTCACCTCACACTTGAATTAAATTAATCAATTATTTGAGAGACAGCTATCTGTAATGTGAACAATGCGATGGAAACTCGTTTTCTGCGACTGCATGTGCATGGTAGGTTGCCAGAGCTTAGACGCAACTTTGACATTTTAGTCCGTACCTCCTGGAAATAACTTCGAGGATTCCGAACTAAAAAAGATCTGTGGCTTGGACGCCCAACGCGTCCTTCTTCCTCCGAGCAAAATTAGCTAATGCTTTAATTTACTATTAGCAAAAATGGTACAACACTTTTACAACAAACAACTTATTTCTACCCATAAATTTCGATTTCGTGTAGGCAAATGAGTGCATTTTAACGAGGGACGTTTTTTTTTCATTATTTGCTTTACTTGTTCCAACAAATTATGAAGAAGCATTTGTTTTCGCGCTCATTGTTACCACAAGTGTTTCTTCAGTACCCCCTCAGAGACAAAACTAAACACACCAAATGCAGATGGCGCCAGATGCGAGCAACACCTTAATACTTAACACCCCAAAGTAGGTCGTAAGAGGGACTCATAGTAAGGCGGACTAAGGTTTTGTGTAAGTTCACAGCTACAATGTAATATTTGGTGGCGTCGCGACAACAAATATATTTAAATATATTTTCAGAGTTTCATTTGTATGACTACTCTTGTGAGTTATGAAAGCATCGCAATTTTCTTGCATTAAACTACAATCGCATAGCAGAAAACGATCCGTGCGTGAACTGATCAAGCAAAGGCGATTGAAAACCGAGCGGAGGGCAATGAGGGGCATATGATGTTTGTCTCGAAGTAAGTAAACCACTCTCCGCGAGCGGAAGGAGAAACGTACTCCTGAGTTGTTAAACAAATGTTGAACTTACAAATGTGACAAGGCGGTGAAATGTATAGTGATTTACTCTTTGTTTTGCTCTACGAAACTACGATAAAAGATAGATTAGTTGGACACCATTCTTTACTTTTTGCTCTATCTACAAAATAACAGACTTGAATTTGTAATGAAAAGGTCTTTTAGAGATGTTCTGTTTTCGAATTATTTTTATTCCAAATCTCTTGAATTGAATTGGTATTATTATTTTGATATAATTTTAGGTCAATATCAGAAGAACAAAAAAATTGCCGAAATGACCTAATGTTTAATTGTGAAGGCGGCATGCAACCACTGCTAGGGACCTGTCTGTATAAAGTTGGTTGTAAATAAAATAAAATAACATGCATTCGAGACATTTAATAGACATCAGCGATTTTTGTCAAAACTTTTCAGATTCTAAAATTGTCGCTGCCTCAGTTAATTTCTTTACGTTATTTCAGTTTTCAGTTATATTTGTTTAAGAAAATTTCAAGAAATAACCATTTCATTATATATTTATAACATAAAAAAATATTCTGTAGATGGTTTTTAATTCAGGATGTAAAATATTTTAGATTATTTTAGATTGTACTTTTTCTATATTCCATTATAATACTCAATTCTGAAATTTCTAGTTAATTGCGTAATTGTGCTAAAAAAACTATTATATTCAGTTTTTGATCTAAACAAAGCACACGGGAGAGACCAATATTGAAAACTTTTCTCCCTCTATGCACTGATTACTTCTCAAATAGCTGACAATTGTCTTAGATTGGCTACATTTCATTCCAGGGTTTATATGGTCGTGGCTTCGCTACGAATTGGGGTCATCAACAACTATAGGATGGTGGTATCAGGACCAAATTAGCATGGCGTTGAACCGCAGTAGCACAAAGACTTAATTCTAGAAATCTCTTCACCTGCTGAAATTCCACCCATCTTCACACAACGAAACGACACAATCTAAACATTATTAATAACTCGTGTATCCCCGATTCAGAGGGGATACGATAGTTGGTATAAATATAAAATTAGTCGCAACCTACCTAATCCAAACGCAATTAGATGGTCATCTGACCTCAGCGACCCATCGCCATTAAGAAAGCGATCAGGTCTAAACGCCTCTGGATCACTCCAATGCTGTTTATCATTATTTACAGAATGTAAATTGATAAGAATACTTGTGTTCTGTAACATAAATACAAATTAATCAGTGAAAATTATTGTTTAAATCGCTAATCTCTCAACATCATACATCTATGTAGCGATGCTTTAGATTTTCCACTAATAATTAAAAAATACTTCACCAGAAAAGAAACATTTAAGTAAAGTTCATAAATAATGATACAAATAAACAAATACATTGACAACTTACAAAGTAACACTACATGCATCAAGGTACCTGAAAGTCTCAAGTTTGAACTCTACTCCAAAATTATTTTATCATCTTGATCAACTTATGATTATAGGAATAATAGTGTATTCAAGTGGTTTATAATTTTTCTTTATTGTATTCATAAAAACTCACTCCTAACGTCTCACATTCGGCTATAGCTTAATAATGCTAAGACACAAACCTTTCATCGTTTCCAGCGCTTGGAAACTTCTCTACAAATGTAGAAGTAAATGTCAATAAGAGCGCGAACTCGAACGGAGAGCTGTTGGTCACTACCGCGGCAAAATCGCTGGATCAGCGCTACACCTGCACTCCTAGCAGACGTCAAACTCTCTGCTTTAGCATTTTTAGCCGAGATCTGGGGGGGGGGGATAAGTTTTCTGTTTCAGACGAGATCGGGGGTGTGGTATATGTCGTAGGATGTCTTCTGCCTTCATTTGGGCGGCTTTTGCTCACATTAAAATGTAATATGTGAGTGTATACAGGATGTCCGGGAGGAAACGTCAAAACATCGTAAAAAGCTCTTAAGATAATTTACAGAATATCTTGTCTAATAAACTCCTTGGATATTCCGAATGCCTGAGCCGCATTAATCACTCAAATGTTGTTCTAAAAATACTTTCTATGCAACAATTTGCATTGCAGAAATATATACACACTTCAGAAAAAGTGTGTATATATATTTCAGTGTAAAATGTTTATTATTTCCAGAAAATGAATATATTTGCTCGGAAAGAAAAATTAACACAGAAATAAAAATGAATCCAGTTTACACAATTCGACTGCTTTTTTATTTCTGGATTATTTTTTCTATTTGAAAAAATATATTCAATTTTTTGTAAAAAAATAAAAAAATACATGTTTTTGGAGTGTTTATATGTTTCTCTAATGCAAATTTTTGCATAGAAAGTATTTTTCGAACCAATGTTCGAATGACTAATGTGAATATTTAAAGAAGAAACTATATTTTTTACAAAGTTCAACTTTATTTCTCAATAACGTGTTCTTTTAATAATATAACTTAATAACGTCACTTAATAACTCAATAATAACTTTATAACTCAATAACGTAACTTAATACACCTTCCCCAACGTTTTTCTATTTTTTTAAGCCTTCCAAAAAATATGACTTTTCAAAGTCTGCAAAATATTGGTTTGTTGCTTCCATGATGTCTTTATTGGAAATTAATTTCCCGTCGAGCCATTTCTTCACGTTTCAGAAGTCACTTGGAGCCAAATCTGGGGTATTGGAAAATCTGGGGTGAGACAAAAGGTCGTATCGCAGTTCCGCAAACGTTGCCATGGCAAAAGCAGACTTGTGCGCGGGCGCATTGCCTTGGTGAAAGAGAATCTTTTTCTTCGCCAGACGTGGTCGTTTCTTCAACAATTCCTTTGAAAAAGATCCAGTAATGCGGCGTAATATAAACCTGTTATTGTTTTTTTCTTTTCCAGGTAGTCAATTAATATTACACCTTGCGAATCCCAGAAAACAGTCGCCATGACTTTTACTGCCGACGGAACTGTTTTCGCCTTCTTTGGAGCACGTTCGTGGGAACAAATCCACTGCTTGGATTGTTCTTTGGTCTCGGGTTGAAAATAATGAATCCACGTTACATCAACTGTTACATAATGTCTCAAAAACTCATTTGGATTACGTTTGAGCATGTTCAAACACTCCTGTGAAATGGTCACACGATTTCGCTTGTTGTCAATTGTGAGCAGTCGCGGCACCCATCTTGCCGACAGCTTTCTCATATCCAAATGTTCGTGTAGAATGTTGCTCACTCGTTCATACGAAATGTTTACAATCTCAACTACCTCCCTTACTTTAATTCGACGGTCTTCCATCACAATATCGTGACTTCTGTTCACCATTTCTTCATTTGTGACCTCAACCGGCCGTCCTGGACGCTGTGCATCACTTGTGCTCAAACGACCACATCGAAATTCTGTGAACCACTTGTGGACCATACCATGCGACAGCAGTGTCCCCATAATACTTTCTCAACTTCTCTTCCGTTTCCTTTAAAGTTTTCCCTCGCAAAAAAGGAGTGCTTGATCAACATTCGAAATTCAATTTCCTTCATTTTCACAAAGCAACTCACACCTTCTGCTTTCGGACCCTCTCAACAATGATCTAACGAGCAGATGGCAACAATATCATGCAAGGTTTCCAAAATTGGAAGTATGACTTCAGTGCCAACAAAGAACCTGCTAAGTGGACGCGAACTATTGTCAAAGTCACGGACTTGTCAATCTGCCTCCGTACTTACAATCAATGTCACATGAGGACATCATTTCATTATTGGAAACACTATTGCATTACACTCTGTCAACTTTTGAAGGTAGTAACTGCTTGGCTGTTCGGGAGACGCCGCACCCAGGAAAGGAGCCAACATTTCGGCCGCTATTCTGCGACCTTTTCCAGGGCGAAATGTATATTACTGACTACGGCCGCGGAAGTGTACGCTCGCAATTACCTCTTGATATTATTATTATCTAGTTTTAATTTCTCACTTCAATATTTTATATTAAGTGTTATATGCAACACATAAATAACAAAAAATAATAAATCTGTAAGAATTTTACCTTTGGTATATAGTAGCCACCCAATTCAGTGTCTTTAAGAGCTCGTCTTGGACCAGCAACTGGTGTTACTTGACACAATCTCAAAACTTCACATATTACTGCATCAACATACGGCATTCTGAAAATTGAAATTATGACAATTATGATTGATATCCAACATTGTGTATATAGGAAACTTCATAGCAAAGTAGTCTATGATTAAATATTGCTTTAGATACCAGGGTCAAATTTAGATGTGTTTAGCTTTTAAATTTTGTTTCGTTTTAAAAGGGAATTCTCAGAAAAATCTTTTGGGCGATATGTTAATAATCAAAGCTAAACTTGCAATGTCAACTAGTGGTGCAACAACAGTATATATTTTCTCGCATTATTACTGACTTTTGTAATTTTTGAAAATTCAGAGTTCAACGAAAGAACTTCCCCAATGTTTTTCAAGTGTCTTTTGTTCTATCTGTAAAAATGTTAAAGAAAAAATGTTGAAGCCGTTTTTCAGAATTTTGTTCATCAATTACATTCACTTCAAACAGAAATTACGCAAAAAACACCGTTTTCCGAAACAAAATATTGTTCTTATTTAAAATCTATTTTTAGAACATGTTTTATTAAAAAATTCTATTATCAATATTGAACTTTAACGGTATGGAATGGGATGGAATATTTTTACAAATTTAGAAAAAAGGAGCGCCAAAAGTACGACTAGCACCAATTTTTTTACCGTCCTTTATTACATACGAGGAAAACATTTGGAACAGTTTATGAGTAAATGCTTGTTTAAAAATTACCTATACTTCACGGAAAAGTACGGTAAAACTACTCACATTTTGGAAAAGTTGTACATAACCTTATTTCAAGATCTACATTTCAACAACAGATTTCATTTACAAAAATTTATTTTCAATACTGTACTTATAGGAATAAGTGGAACAAATTTTGACCTTTTGTAATTTTTCAAAATTAAAAGATTTCAACCAAACAACATTTTAAGGCAGAAAGGACTATTAAAAGAATGGTGCAGGTCTAATTTTCGTTGATAGACTGATATTTTTGAAAATTGCAAGTTCGATACGTTTTTATTCTCTTGAATCTCGATACAGATTTTTACTTTCTTGCTTTATTTCATAATGCCTCCTAACTCGCCTTACATTGGCAATATTATTTTTATATATTCAAATTACAGAGAGTTTGTTTGAAATGGGACCGGCTCTAGATATTTTACCGTCGCTACATAAATTGATGAGAAAATTTAAAGAGAAAATTCAGAGCTTTTTGAGGAAATAATTGTTTAAACATTGCCTAAATTTCACGCAAAATTATGGGACATCTACTCATCTTTTCCAAAAATTGTGCATGACTATTTCGAGTGAGTCTGTAATTTCATTAAGAAGACAATCTATACCTATAAGACGCCGAAAAAATCAAACTTTTGTATATTTCAAAATATCAAGTTTTTCAACAAAAATGACACCTTTTTATCATCCTTTACACTATCCAAAGTCAAAGAGTAATCAAAAAAATTTAGAGCCATTTTTTGAAAATTTTGAGAACGTTCTGAAAATGTTGAAACTTCGTGTAAAGTACAAGCCATTTCAAATTCGCAGAACTTCGTTAGTTCAGATCGATCAATATCAGTTTTGGAGAAACTTGTGTGAACGGTTTAGGTGCTAGCATTGACCACAGACGAACAGACGAAAGTTTTAACATCAATTGATTTTGCGAAACCATGACCCATAAAACATGGATTCTAACTACACAACGTATTAGAAGAGGTAATTGACTACATATAAGAAACAAGATTTATACCCCTTTCCTTTATAATTTCGACAATAAAAGCTTTTATGACGAAAAAGCGCCGACTTCCGCCGCACGATCTCAATATTTTTCTCTTTGCCACTTAGACCACGAAGTAAAAATGGTGCGTTTATTTGTGTAGCTCTCCCAGAGTTTCATTAAAGAAAGTATATAGTCAACGTTACCGTAATTTGCCTGGCCGGTTCAACAAAGTATGAACAAAATCAAAAATTCGTCGAATATAAGCGAATATGCATATGTACGACGGCCGCATCCTCGTCGCCTACGCAGAAATGCGAAGCGAATCGTTGAGGTAGTGGAGAGTAGGTTGATGGTATCTTGTAAATAGAAGGATGACGCAGTGGCACCGGAAACTTCATCCCTCTCATTAGTCCTAGAAACTTCTCACCAGTAGTCTCATTCCCATTTATCACATAGCTGCTATTCCTGATGACCGTGACGTACGACACTCTCCTTATCCACCTCGTTTTGGCCAATGTGAACTTCATCCGGCCAACATCGGAAGGATGCTGCGAAACGTTTCCTATTTTAACCACCCATTTTTAATAATATACTTTCCGGCTAATTCGAAAAATAATTTCGCACTTCATTCGTAATATACTGCAATGAGTCGCGCTAACGTGTTGCACAATCATTGCAGGCCTTCGCCCGCGCCATTTCGCCGAACTCCGCGCACTCCGTTCCCGGCCAATTTAATTAGCCACGCCTCGGCTGTCCTCTCGTGCAATACGGAAGAGGTCATAAGTACTTGCCCACGCTTCATATGCCGACAGTCTTCCATCGCGGGTCCATCTCATCATTACAAAATATAGTACAGGGCTCCCTTGTCGCCGTTTTCTGAGAGCTGAAAACGTTACTCGCGACAACTGATACTCATCTCAGCGATAGATATTTCGTTTCCGGTGAAGCGCTGAATTGCAAGTGTAGAGCTCCGCCCTAATCCCTTAGTAAGTACCGGGAGAGATACCTCAGTACATCAACTGATGTCACTACAGTGCCTCTGACAGAGTGGTCCCAGGTTCGAGTACCGAGAGTGGTAGGATTTTCGACACTGGCTTGTCAGCTAGGTCGAATTCAGTCGCTGTCAGGAAGAGAATTCTCGAGACCGGCTGCTCTCATCAGTAGTTTTCCGTGATTTGTCCCATCAACACCAGAGGAGTGCCGGAGCAGACCCTAACAAACGCGTCACGGACCTCGCACGATCTTTCCTATCTTTTCCTTGTCCTATCATCACTCCTGCTATCCGACGGGAAGGTCGGCGCTGGATCTCGCTATCCAGCGGGGGAAGAACACCGCCACTTCCCAAGGAAAATAATATAAATAGAATAGATTCTGTAAAAATGGGTCGCTAAGAAAGGGTGATATAAGCGAATGATCATCCGACAAACGTTAGAACTTACTGGAAAATCCAAATGTATCGAATAGGAGGACAATCTGGCCTCACGTAATCGGTCGACTGTGGATTAGAGAGGAGAGGGATATTTCGCGAGGAAGCTTTCGTGCGCGGCGGAAAGAGATTCACTTCATCACAACTCCGTTGAGGACTGACGCAAATTATTTTGGAGACTTCACGAAAATTCCATGAAGTACGGAAGCAACCTCTTTATGGTCTTTTGATAATCACTTGGTTCAGTACGGACGTAAAGCTTAACCGTTTTAATATTACTTACGAAGGTGCACGCCAGGCACTAACATCCAGGGATATTTTAACATCCTCTATTACTATTGCACACTACGAGGCAATACAACGCGAGAAGGTGACGTGTGACGGCCTTTCTCAGCGTAAGCGAGGCATCCGCGATTACACCACGCGACACGGGGCCTCCCCGTTCGATTGTTCGTTTGATCGGACCGCCGGCTGCATCCATCACCTGGGGAGCGCAACGCGGTCTCCTACGCGTCGCTTTGCTTTTTCCACGTGCCCGGCCGCCCGCACAATTCACCCTGACGCACCTCGACGCGCTGAAAACGAATCCGCAAGCCGCGTGTCGATACCTTCGTTTGTTTGCCCGGAAAAAATTCGCAAAAGTACTCTTCCGAAGCAGATTTCGCGCCGACCTACACGCCGCTCCGCGGGTCGGAGGGAGTCGGGACCCGCACCGGTAGACAGACGAGTTTCTCGTCTACGGGATCGCCGAACGTCGAGGTCGTGGCATCTCGGACGAACCCTTGTCATCGCTGTCATCTGTGCTGCATCGGGGCGCTATCTACCGCCCCCGTACTAGCCAGCTTCCGCCAGGATCCAGAAGGCGTACAATTGTCGAGGCGGAGTAGCCACCGAGCAAGGTAATACCAGACCAACTCCCATTAACCCTGTCCGTTCACTGACTGTACAATTCATCGGACAGAGGGAGTTTACAATTGATTTTATTTACTACATTTGCAAGCATACGTCACTTTGACAATTTGCGTTAAATGAAAAAATGAGAAAGTATCAGTGAATGTAGAGTAGTGAAAAACCTTGGATCTCTCCCCGAACAAGAGCTGTCCATCCCCGAGATTCTCAGCAACCGGCATCTCAAGATGCAGATTTCTATCGCGCTTGGCGGCCTAAAGAAATTTGGCGGATGCAAACGCCGAACTAAACAACGTGTGTAACGTATTGCAGTCATCTAATAATCAGTCCTATTTATCTCGCAACTCTGCCCGGCCAGTATGCATTACCTACAATATAAATGCATCGCCGATCATAACTTTGTAAATGTAACACACCACCTCCATCTCGAGAAGTTCTCGAGATCTCTTTTCCCACACTGTATTTTTTCTCATTGTAGTAATAATGTAAGAAGATTTTTTCAGGTGAAATTATTTCGCGGTAAAGAGTAAAGCTGAAACACAGACACTCACACACACATCCATTTTTACTTTATCGCCCTTACGAAGATTTTCGTGCGCCGGTAAACGGCAAATTTTCGGCAGAAAAACTCTTATTGGTCATACTAAAGAAAAAGTGGATAAATCCAGTTGAAAAATATAGGGGGAAAATCCTCTAACACGTTGTGTAGTAGAAAGTTTGTGGGTCCTTGATACCGAAAAATCGATTGACGGCAAAACGTCTGTCTGTCCGTTTATCTGCCGATCTGTGGTCAACGCTAGTGCCTAATGGTTCAGTCATTTTCTCCAAAATTGCTCTTCCCCGATCGATTTGAATAAACTCAAGGTTTGGGGAGTATGAAACGGATATTTTGATTTTTGAGGGTACTTTAAATGAAACGAGCATTACGTTTTTAAGCATCGGTCAGAGTGAGCCCCCTAAAGCGCTTGATAGTGTAGTGAGTAAGTTTGTTAGTTAATCCTTTATTATACGTGTCGACACTCGGGCCATTTGTTCCGCTCTTCCGTCTGACCACACTCATTTTGCTACGCTCCTTTCACCATCTAGCGGAGAGAGAGGTATCATCTCAGAGGCTTCTATTAGGCTTTATTATCTTTTACATGCAGTCAATCTACTACATGGGTCAGCCGGCTTTACGTCCCCTCCGAAGAAAGGGGTACGAAGGATTTTTTCATCCTTAAAAATCCACGGATTCGATCGGGTTTGAACCCGAGAACATGTGTAAAACAGCCCGATTCAATAACCGTTATACCACCGTACCGTAGAATGATGACGCTTTGAGGATCTGAATTGGGGTCTCCGAGCGGAAAAAAAAAGTTGCTCGGTGAAGACATCGCAGGTTTACGTATTAGTATAATGTAGCAAAACAGAAATAATGCGATATGTGCTTGCGATATGTGCTTGCGATATGTTAGAAATAATGCAATATGTGCTTTGTTAGCACCTACAGTTTTGAAAAGCTGCACCTTCCTTTACAAATTGATTTAAAAATTGATGTTTTATACAAATGTAATATTTTATGCTCTTTAAAATAAATTTGAATAATAGTATTTCGACCGAACTAAAGGTTAAAGGGCTATAGAGAAAAAACGAAAAGGTTCATAAAATACCGGTGATTCGTCCTTCCTTTAACTAAGAAGTCAACAACTTGAGGTTTTATCAAGTGCCAGAGTATACACCATATATTCAAATAAAACGTTTTTATGACATTTTTCCCAGATAAAATGTAATTGTTGACTCGGTCAAACTAATTATATATCCTAAGCTCGAGCATTTTTGATAAAATTATTCATGTTTATGAATTATTCTTGCAATGAGAACTTAATATAATGTATTATTCGCATACCGACATACTTGTATCTGTCATTAATAGATGGCAGACGTTCTGTTCCGATAACTGACCATATCTCCTTTTGCACTTTCCTCTGAATGTCTTGGTGTAGAACCATGAGGAGAATTGCGAAGTCCAACGTGTTGCTCGTAGTTTGCGAGCCAGCAATGAAGAGATCCAGGCAAACCATTATTAATTGATCATCTAGTGTATAGCAGAAAAGCATTGTAAATGTATGGTAAAAATGAAATCGACTCTTTTAGAAAAATATTTGTAGATCACATTCTTTGATGATTTACATCATGCTTGTGTAAAACAAAATACCTGTATAGAAAATATTATTCTTCTTTTCCGTTGACTTCATTTGGTGAAGATAAGCGTCAATTAAATCTCTTGTTTCTACAGAATCATATGTTGACAGATGTTCAGCTATTACTTCCTACGAAATAATTTTTAGTGCATTTAAAATTTTTCAAACAATGCGTATTTACGCAATGCAAATGCAGTATTTGGCCTAAATACCTGAAACAGTGTCTTTAGATCGTTGTTAATATCCATAATTAGTTTATAACCTGTTTTAGATGGAACAAGAAAGCGCAGCCATGGAAAATGATTTAGTAGTCCACCACTGATGTCAAACAATCTAGTTCGCTTTTCAAGAAGCACCAACATTTTATCCAAATAAAACTTTGAACTTGATAACCGAGAGCCTCCCACTAAAGTCCACATAGTATTGAGAACAGCTTTGGCAAATTGAGGACCAATTCTAATTTTTTGGTTATTACTTGTACCAAGTTGTTTTCGTAATTGAATAAGTTCGTCATGAAGTATATTTTCCATATTTTGCTTTCCGTACCCCAGGTTCCGTAAGTGTCTCAAAACGAAGGCACGCTGATCATGCCACAGGTAGCCATCCGTACATGTTACGCCTGAACACAATAAAAGTAAACATTAGTAAGAAAGTACAACGATTAATGTTTAAATATTTAAAAATTCAGTTTCACATGTTAATGTTAGCTACAAAAATATGCATGGCAATCTACGATTTGACATTACTATTAAACAAAACTATTAAAACTACAAAAATTAAAATACTGCTTAATTTTATTTGGCATACAATAAATGATTAAAACCTCAAAAATTTATACTAGCCGAGATCTGATATATTTTCACGTAAAACACCTTTAACTACAGATACTGAAATGAAATATATTATGTCTGTAAATATTACTCTTAATTTATTAACATATTAAAGAAAATATAAAATTAAATAAAAGTACAATTAAAAAAAAAAATAAATAGCTAGAACCAGATCTTCGAAAACTACGAAAATTGAAAGAAATTTCCGTATGATCGCCGAAGTTCTTGTTTTCTTGTGGTAACGCATTAGGAAAATAAATTTACGAATGAAATTGAGGGAGCACAATACCACAAAAAAGGTTTATGGTCAGAAAAGTATTTTGAGATATCCGTCAGAAGAATATTGACACATTTTGGTAAATTTATTCTTATTTCATCGTTTGTATTTGTACTATTTCTTCAAAAAAATCTACTTTGACTATTTTAGAAAAAAAACAAGTATTGTTTCTGGCAAAGTGTACTATCATACCTTTCCTGGTTCCCATTGATCGTAGACGAATGAAAAAATTGTCAGGGCGACCTTCAAATTCTTCTTTTGTGAGCACATCCTGTACCAATTTCATTCCTGATACGACAACGACTAAATTCTCTCCCAATTTTAGTCCGATAATATCGGAATTGTAATGTTGAGAAAGAAATGAAAACGCCATATGTTGATATTTTTCCTTTTTCATGAGACTCCGAATATACAAAAAATTTCCAACAACAGGCAGCCACGGAGGACCTGAAAGAGAAATTTTTGAAAATAATTAATAAACAATAGTACATAAATGATGTGCTTCTGAGATTATTGTTATTATTACAGAAGATGTCCCCGCCCATTTCATTTCGGAACTACAAAAGAACGTCCAAAACCAGAATTGCTAATAATCTGGATTCGATCCTGGAAAAAATAGCTCAAATACATATATCATTTGGTACCCGTACAATATTTTCATTATTTATATTACTGTGCTACAATCTGTAATTTTGCTGTCAGCCTAGATTGACTATACATAAAATAAGAATATTAATGTAAACAATTAAAATATAAACAAAATCTATAGTGAAAGTAAAGAATGAATTTCTTATAATATCAATTACACTAAATTAAGACGAAAAACCCTTTTTCGCGATGTTTAAAAGCCTCACCCCTATTGATTCATTAATTTTTCAGTATCAGGGGACCCACAGAATGTAGATTCTGACTACAGAACATATTAAAGAGTACTTTACAACATATAGAAGCAAGAAAAATTCAATTTTTATTTGATAGGGACCCACAAAACGAATTTTTCTGTCAAAATCGCGATTTTCCTGAAACATTGTATGCAAGAAAGTAAAAATATTGGTTTAGGATATAGCAATTTAAGGGTTGGTGGTAATCCATTACTTTTCACATGCACCTCTTACAACAACCGTGAAAATAGTCAAGCTTGAGAACGGGCTCCAACAATTTGTTGTTTGTCATAGCTCCACAATCAGAAGTGGCAGAAACAGATTACACACAATTATGGAAAAATAATCCCCAAAATTCTGAGTATAGAAACTTAACAAAATGTGGAAACTTCAACTTTCATATCTTCTAATCTATCCAGGCAATTGAAATTCGAGCTCCATATTTCAGTCAGTCAAGTGGAATGATTGTCTTCCTCTCGTCTTGAAGCAAAGAAGTCTAAAAGAAGGTATTTACTAAGTTTTGTTATCTTGAATTCTACATTACAGATACACCAATTTAGCGGATAAGAAGGAATAAATCGTCCGTTTTATTGCAAGGCATTCCAAGACTATTGCCTTAATCGTTCGCATATCGAAGTTATGCAAGAAATAGTTAGCTGTGGCAATGCGTCTTTGCATAATTCATAGATAAGAAGCGAGGCAAGGTCTAATAGAGATAAAGGGGCTCATGGCGTTACGGCCTGTGCATATGCCTTGCACGGCTGGAGCAGACCCCTCGCCTGATTCAAGTGGAATTGCTAGTGGACAAAGGGGGCTCCTGTCGAGTTTTCTCGGTATTTTCATTTCCCTTGTCACTCATTCCACCAATAAACCATCCTTATTGACGTAACTGAAGCTATCTACTCATTAAACGTGAAGAGTCTCAGGTATTTTAGCTGATGAATCACCCGAGAATGCCTCTAAATACAATCTAATGGGGTAAGAAGGCGCTTGTTTCATGAAGTTAGGCAGATTGTCTGGGACAGTCTTGTCAGTCGATTTCAATCAAGGAATAAAATTGTAATCCATGACAATGTCTACGTTTATAAAGTACCCGCGAGATACAAAAAATATATAATATATCAATGTTTATTTGTTTGTATCGTATGCGCTGCCGTAACAGTCATCCGATTGCGATACAAGTCCGTCAACTTATTTGCTGCACTTACGCGAAGGTTATAGGCATAGTACAGCGAGAATGTGCTTATGGCTGTCGCACATTAACGCATAGTAGGGGCGTTGATGATTATAATTTATGAGTTTATGATGACTCAAGCGCCCCTGAACACAAGCTCTTCCCAAACCACCGCACCCTCAAGTATTAGCAGCGCCTTCGCTACACTTTCTGTTCCTGCGATTGTGAAATATCGGCCGGAATTATTTCTTTAATATTATTTCGGATAAGTAAATCAAATATCTTAAAAACAGTGTCGAAGAAAATGTATTCCCAAAGTTTAGGGCGAACGTTTTAAATTAAGGATACTTGACATCATGTCCAAACCCGGACATAGATCAATCCCATACTTGCAAAAAAGTCATTCATCTATTACAATTTTTGCAGGGTGAAGTGTAAAACGTGATTAACAATCACGTGAACAGTACCTTGTGAGGTGTTATACATTACAAAAGCGAAGCATTGACGGATCCACTAGTATTTCATAAAAATGATTTATTTCTTCTAGTTAAATTAATAAGATGTCAAAAAATGAGCCGGTTAAACGTATCTGCATGTATCACCATAATGTTTGGATAGAATGTGATTAGAATAATTAGAAAATAATGTAACTCCATAGATGCTGGAGTGTGACTTGTATAGGTAGGTTGACCATACATCGGGGATTACTCCAGAGAGATACGAATTCAAACTTAAATTAGCAATAGCATGTGACAATGGCCACTGTGCGAAATTAACATCCGAAAAGTAACAAAACCAAAATGTTGCACTTATCAGTGCTGCTGTTTGTTGAAAGTGCTGGTGTATTTGGAAGGCTTTTTGTTTGTGTATTTTCGTAGTGTTTTCTCTATTTTACGCTCGTCGACCTAGTCATATCTACACAGCCTTATCCGAAAGTTTCTATTTCATAGCTTCTAACAAACACGAAAGATAACTCTGCAGCGGCTCTGACTGGGCGGTCCAAGGGTTCGAGCCTCGTCCGGCTTAGATGGCTCACGGCATCAACTGATGTCACTATAATGCCTTTGATCGGGAATCGGAGGTCGTTCAAGTCCCGACGTTGGCAGCAGTTTCGATACTACCCAGATAGCTAGGTCAGTCCCTGCCTTGACAAGAATTCTAGCGGTCGGCCGCTCTGATTGGTAGTTTTTCGTGGTTTCTCCGATCAATATCACGTGAATGGCGGAGCAGTACCTTAACAAACGGACCACAGACCGCGCGGAATCTTCCCTTCCTTTCGCTTACCATACCCCCACTTTCTCACGCACGCTTACATGCAACAAACTACAATATACTACATATCAGGAGACAACTCGGGAGCTTACACCCGTTGCCCTGGCTAGAGCGGTACCCCACGGGGGGAGGGAATTTGGAAGGGGAAATCTCCCGCTAACCAATGTGTGAGTCGGTGCCGTATTTCACCATCCAGTTGGGAAGGAATCACTGCTGCCTCTCAGGATTAAATATTCACTTCACGAACGGGACTAATGACAACACCAGTTTTCGTGTTTTCCCTCGGTTATCCAGGCGAAAACTGAGATGGTTCTACTGAAAGGCCACGATCGCAAAACCGATGACGCTAGCCAAATTCTTTAATTACGAGAATCCACGATGGTTAAGCGAATTTGATACATCGCAGGTTCCTGGTCGGGTGACCGACTAGGAACCCCGAGATCTAACAGCGCCGAAGCCAATTGCGGGACATAAGATGGCTAAATATAAATAAAAAACAAGGTTTTTTTCATGTTGCTATGAAATAGAAAATATTGATTACCCAGAAAAAAAAAGAGTTACATGGTGTTATTCGCTTCTTTATTATGGCTTTTATTTCTACGCCATGCGAAGGAACGAAAGCATGGGCAATGAACCATCGTTTAAGCGGCACACAAAGGAACAAGAACAGCGCGCGAGAAACACTCGGTCAATTGGCCTCCGTAGAGGGCGCCCGCAGCCGGCGCGTCGTCAACTAGAGTTTATTTTCATCGCCGCCGTCCCCACTGGCTGTGGTTCAATGTCCAGATCCACTTTACGCGGGCAGTGGGGCACAGAGATACGAAAATCGCGAACCGTCAAGAAATAAAAAAATGTGCATGCTGATAAACATTACTTAATACTAATTGGACATCTTATCAGTACAAAACTAATTACTTTAGTCAATGAAAGTAGCACGACTGCAACAGATCAACAAGTTGCCTTTAGAGGTCATGGTAAACGAAGTTTACTATAACTAGGAAGTCATTCTATCAGAATTACATTGACATGGCATTTTATTCTATGAATTATCTCGCGTGGTAATATTATTCAATAATAACAATAATAAAAAAATGACAATTATGTTAAATACAATAAAATGGTATTACATATATGATACCGATTGTGAATAGAGTTCTAGTTCTTGTTTCTCAGAACACACGAATTACGTCGGTGAGCCTGGTAATTTAAATGGGGAAATGCAAGCTGACAATTTGGGAATCGCCTAGTTGAATTTAATAATATTACTACGTTAACTAATTAATTCTATGCAAACCGCTCTTAAAAACAATATATTAAAAATGCTCAGTTCTAGTCTAGATGTGATCTATCACATCCCCATTTAAAAGGTTCAATCGTGAATAAATGATTTATAATAATTCTCATTATTTTTGTGTGATTTAAATGTGTAATGCAATTTCTACCACATACATTTCTTGTTACATTTATTATTTTCTTCCTCTGAATTCTATATTCTCGATGGAATCAAGCCGGGTATTGAGGGTTCATGACCTCCTGGCAGCTCATGTTTACAACTAAATATATACCCCTCATCAACATCTGTGTCCTGTAATGTGAAAAATAAAATTACTAACAAATATCTTCAGAACTGTTCTAATCTGTCTTAACCATTTATGAAAGCAATCTCTTAACTGTATTGGGAAGAAAGAAGACGAATGGAGGTCATCCTCCTCCACTCCTACCCCTACCACTGCATCTACCCACAATACTACTACCATCCACCACCACCAC